CTCGAGTGTGCCCTCCAAGTTTGTGACTGGGATACCGAGGATACAAAACGAGGTGTGAAGAACCATGCAAATCACTTGGTACACTTAATGTTTATTACTCAATCGATGTGCCGTTAAACACCGAGCTCCACCGACCTATAATAAACTTTAAGTCACCCTTTACCTCCTTGTTAAGTCCGTTAGTGTGCCGGTTAACCACACAAGCTCCACTAACGACTTAACAAAGTGGTAAAGGTAATTTCATGGATTAGATTAGCACCTTATTCACATTTTCCTAACGTAATTAAGATTGGGAATTAATAAAAGCATTTAGTTACTTTATAATATTCATCATACTTTTAATGAGAATTTATAAGTCGTTGTCCTACCCGTTCGGCTAACGACCCTCCACCGATCAAGGAAGCGGTGGGTGAGAGTGGACACCCATTAAGTTGCCATTTTATAGGCAACAACCTTATACCCCCCTTATAGACCGGCTTCGTGAATGAGGCGTACTAGCGGTAAGACGACTTGATCTTATACATTATATATTAGTAACTTATATATTATAAAGTATGGTTGAATTTTAACTTTTAAAATTCTAAGGGTTGGAACTAAAGTTTTTAATCAAGACTTACTTGTCCCAAACTTGAGGGCAAGTTTTGTAAACTTCCAAAACTTTTATTTCTTATAACTTATGAATTAATTGAGTATAAAAATGAAGACTCTAGACTTTCATTTTTCTAATTTGTGTTTTTTAATGGCTTTAATAAAAGTGAGACTTTTGGTTTTCCATAACTTGAGGACAAGTTATGGACTCCATTTAAACACATTATGATCATGAATTAAACTACCATGAAGGTTACAAAACATTCCTATGATCATCTAATCTTCATAAGTGCAAGAACATGAATATGAAACTTTCAAGAATCAAAAATTACCATTTAAAAAACTTGTAATTTTGATCATTGCCATTGTAATGGTTCAGCATAAACATTACACCATCTAAAACAAGTTTTAAAAACATCCAAAAAACAGTTTTAGGTAATGTTTCTAGTCCATTTCCAGCAACAAATGTCGAAATTCTGAAAACTGCAGCCTCTACTCGTCGAGTGCAAGAACAGACTCGACGAGTAACTTCACAAAAAAAAAAACAAAAACAAACCAGGGATCTGATACCACTGATGGGTTTTGAGCATTCTAACACTTCCTAAGTGTACATGTAACCCTAATAACCTTGGATCTATGTTTGTCTAATTATCATGCAAACTTGAATTCCAAGGTTATTTCCTATCTAGCATACTGGGGAACATTTTTAACTTGAATGAAAGATAGAATAACTTACCTTGTGTTGATTATGATCCTTGAAACTTGTGAGCCTAGCACCCCAAGTGTGATGCCTCAAATGCTTCACACAACACCAAATGCACAGGAGTAAACTTTGAGAGAATCTTACACTTGCAAAATCGGCTCTAGCCCTCTTGTTTCTTAGTGTCGCAATTTTGGGGAGAACACCTTTGTTTATATAGTTTGTTGCATTAGGTAAACCCTAATGTAACATGACTCTTCATTTCATGATCCATGGGTTAACTCCATGGAGCATCCTATGGGTGGAACCCAACTTGATAATCCATGGAGCCTCTTGGCTCACTATATAAGATATGGAAGATTTACATAATCTACCCATATATTTAATTAGTTATCTTTTGATCACTTAATTAATTCTAAATTAATTCTTGATCAAACTAATTAAATAATATTATTAATATATTAGAACTTATAATATATTAATAAACCATAAGTGTTATTTTTCTCATTTTAGTTTATCCAATTGCATGGTGCCATGCAACCCAAATGGACCATGTCGGGTCGGGTCAAGTACATACCAGAAATAGTTATGGACTTAGACACCTTATCCAACAGATCCGAGATACGATTACATAACTGCCCAAGTTTGACTGTTGTGCCCAACAATTAAATACTTTTGTTATGTTCTAGTATGACACTGTTCTATAGTAAGTATGTTGGTATGTAATTAGGTGGGGTTTAGTACTTTTAGTAGTATTTAGTACTTAAAGTATAAACCCCTTGTCAGAGTATTTTAATCCCATTGTGTTTATAGTTTGTATATCTTTTATGGGTTGATATACCTGATTCACTATAAACAATGCTCTGATACCAATTTGTCACACCCCAAAACCGGAACGGCGGAAACATTCTGGGGCGGAGGACGTCATGTACAGTATCATAAAAATGCAAAATAGTAAATAAGCAACAATATCATCTATTGCACTAATAGTATAATTTCATACAAGTGTGTTCTTTAATAGTAATAAGACACCAAAAATGAATAATCAAAATAAAAGACGAGTCTTGAAGATGCTCCGTCTTCTCAAAACCTGGCATCAGTACCTGTCTACTGACGACCTGAGAATACAAGTTATTTTGAAAGCGTAGATCAGCATTTAAGCTGGTGAGTTCATAAGTATTTAATGGCAATGTTTGTATAAGTTGAATGTAAATGTTTGTAAAAGTTCAATGTAAATGTTGTACATGTTTAAAAACCCTAGAAAATCCCATATTTCCTACTAGTAAAAAGTAGTCTTCTGTCAAGACCCGATGTTTTGAATGTTTTGTTTCTCTATAAAAGTGGATGTTTTTCCCCTAGTTTATAACTATCTTAACTCGAAAATAGCTTGCATTGACTTTCAAGTAGAACTGTCACTATATAAAAGTAATGGGAAAAGTAAGTACTCAGGGGTCTTCAGAATTGACAACCTGCAATACTAATTACCTGAAAACATATTTGTTTTATTAAGGTAATAATGTGATGAGTAGTTCCCATACTAAACGTTCTCCCTACAAGAGATTCTGGGAAACAAGGGTGACTTCCGCAACGAATTGCTAGGTCGTAATATCCACATTAAAGTTATATGATCATGTATACCCAATTTATTATCACCTTTTGTTTAGAACAATGCGTTAGTGATCATTGGTATAGTTAGATCCTGTAGTTGTTCCATGATATAGCATCTTAGTATGTTTGTTCTGTTATAGTATCTTAGTATGTACTTGTATATGATAGTATTCTCTGTGTGTACTTGTATATGATAGTATTCTCTGTGTGTACTTGTATATGATAGTATTCTCTATTGTAGTATTCTCTGTTATAGTATTCTCTGTTATAGTATTCTCTGTCTAATATTTGTTTATGATAGTATTCTCCTAAACTATACCTATAATAGCTTACTAATAATTTCTGTTATAGTATTCTTCTTTGTAGTATTTGAATGATTGACTCGTACTTTTATATCTACATATGTATACATAATATATAACTAATGTTTAGACGACCTTCGGACAACTAACCGATTACTCTAAGTACACATTCAAACAAGAAAAAGGAAATAAAGTGGGTTAGCAGTTCTAAGTCCTTTAAACATTACTTACATAACTATACATATATAGACATGCATTTGACGATATATAAGTTAAAAAGGAAGTTTTGTAAAACCTTTTGAAGAGTTTAATAATAAATATTGATGACTTGATGTCAATTTATAAAATGATTTAAAAGTAGTTTGTTTGATAACACAGTTTGAAGTATATGAAATCCTATTGTTTGAAACACAGTTTGAAGTATATGAAATCCTATTGTTTGAAACACAGTTTGAAGTATATGAAATCCTATTGTTTGAAACACAGTTATAAATCACATATGATTGATTAAATAACAACAAGTATAGCAAAAGATTGATGTTTTTCACACGAGGATAATCGTGTGTTTACTTGTATCCCCCCCTTTAAAAGTGTATAAAAGCATTTACAAAGTATTTGAAAACATAGTTGTAGGGGTATGAACTCACCTGATAGAAGAGACGATGTGAAGAAGACGATGTTTAACTCGGGCCGCGCTTCGACTGGTAAGAAAGCAAGTTTATCGGATACGTCGGGACTTCGGGTCTTGCGTCGTGAGTTAGAGGTGTTACCTGGGCTTCGGGGCAGTCTCGGGATGCTTAACACAGAGCACAAGTAGCAAGGAAGGTAGAATTGAACAGCCAAAACCCAAGAACTTCGGTTTCTATTTATAGGGCTGATTTCTTCATTTCCACGTCGTGGACACTATTTCCACGTCGTGGGCTTGACCGTCACTGCATGCGTCATCGCAAGTTGGGTCTGGCAGACTCCAGGAGGCGTCAGAAGTCATGCCACATCGTGGGCACTGTTTCCACGTCGTGGCCACTGATAGTTTTAGGGTTTCGCGCCCCGAACTTCAGAAATTCATAACTTTCGCATACGAACTCCGTTTTCGACGTTCTTTATATCGACGCGTAGGTGAGATTATGCTCTACAACTCTCGTTTAGACTCCGTGGGCAAATTTTGACTTTATTTTTAATATATTATCAATATATTATTTATATATTATTTTTAGTAGGCCGGGACAGGAAAACTCCGTCAGAAATCCATAACTCCTTCATTTGACGTCCATTTTCGTCAGACTTTTTACCGTTGCGCTACTATTGGTGAGATCTTCGATTCTCGTTTAGGTCATGATGGCAAAAAGTCGCTCGATCTCTAATTCGAGTTTTTAGCTGTCTACTGCTATGTCCGAAACTTCGAAAAATCATAACTTCCTCATATGAAGTCAGATTTGGGCGTTCTTTTTATGTATGTTTACGGTTTAATGATATCTACAAATTTCATTTAGACACCTACGGCTAATAATTATTGTATTGAAACTTCGCGTTTTACGTTTACCAGTATTGTCGGTTTTTGCCGCGAATCTTAGATTGGTCATAACTTCTTCGTTATAACTCGGATTTTAGTGTTCTTTATATTTCTGAAACCCTTGAAACGATATCTATCATTTTATGCAACCCAATAGAAACTTTTGAACATTTTATTTTTGACGCTAATTTCATTATATCAAAAGAGATTACAATTTTTGACTTTTTAGGTCATTATATTGATTCGAAATACCGGGTTGTCACAACGGTCGTTGTTGATATCAAACTTTTGTTCATAACAGTTGCCACCCGATTTCTAGATGTTGGGTGATCGCGTCGAGGACGTCTGTGTGGCGATCAGATTCTTGGCGGATGTCGAGTTTGACTAAGGAGAGACCGAATGTTGTCGCCACATGTGCATAGGGATCGGTAGCATACCTCGAGGGGTTCCAAGAACTGTAAAAAAAAAGTTGTTAAAGATTTGAGCAAATGAAGGGAAATTTGCATATGGTTTGAAACATTGTAGGGCATCCCTCAACGGGGGGTCATTGGCCAATGCCCAGACCACCGATCAAAGAAAGTTTGGGGGTATTCAACTATTTCTCTATTCAATGAAGCAATATCACAAACACTTCGTGTGCAACCTTAGATAGAAATATTAGGATTGAAATGTTACCCTGTAAAAGAACCGCTCAAGTAAGGGAGTCAGGGGGCCGAGGGAGAGACAGTCGACCGAGGCGTTCCGGCCACCGGAGAGGATGCTGGAGGCCTCGGAAGTTGCGCCACCGGAGCTGAAGATTTATCAGCGGTGATAGACCATATGTGACAGCTCTGTATATCATGTAAACCATTTCACCGCCTTTAATTGCCCCCATTTTGGAATCCGTTTTGAGTTCAAGCGGGTCTTTACTGAAGTCAGTGGAGTGGACCTATAAAGCTTTACCCCAGTTTCACTCAAATATGGCTGATGACATGATTGGATAAAAAATTAGGGCTCACTTGGGTACATACCTTCAAAATCGAAGCCAAGCATGAATTCACCTTCCATTTCTTCCTGTTTTTATTTGAAAGCGTTCAGGGAAGAGAGTAGTGGAGACGATCGAAAAAACAGTATCGGAAGCTTTGCTTGAGGCTGCAGCCGGAGAGGTGGTGGGCGGCGGGAGAAGAGAAGAAGATCACCTGCGATAGAAGGAACCAACGAAGTCTGGAAAGAGAAGGCCACGAAGAAGGAAAGAGATAGAGAAAAGAAGAAGAAGGAAACACATTTGAAAGCGTTCAGGGAAGAGAGCAGTGGAGACGGTCGAAAAAACAGTATCGGAAGCTCTGCTTGAGGCTGCAGCCGGAGAGGTGGTGGGCGGCGGGAGAAGAGAAGAAGATCACCTGCGATAGAAGGAACCAACGAAGTCTGGAAAGAGAAGGCCACGAAGAAGGAAAGAGATAGAGAAAAGAAGAAGAAGGAAACACGTGGAAAATAAAGGAAGCAGAAGAGAACACGTGTAAAGTCAAAGGCAGGAAAAATCTAAAAGAAATAGATTTGACACACTAACGACAAAAAATTGAAAAAATAAACCACAATAGAAAGACGCAAAGCAGAATTAACAAAGTGACACACAAACAAAAATAGAGGGACCGGAAATGTAATTTAAGGGACCAAAATTGGCCAAAATGTCTGAGGTTTACTGTTAAAACTTTTCATAACTTTAATATATATATAATAATTATTATAATTTTCATTATAAAACTTAACATAAAACTAAATATATGTAAATGGTTTACATATATTATGGATTTTTTTCTTTTTCTAAAAGATAAGAAAATTGATTATTTTTGTGGTTGGCTGTTTAAAAATATAGAAAACAAAAAACTGATTATTTTAAGACTAAAAAAATATGTTTAACTTTGATGAATATAAACCCCAATTATACAAAAACAGAAAAAATTAATTTGTTATTTTACCTAATGTTTTAAAAATTGGTTTTTTAGTTGAACTGGTATGGTGACCGATTTCCGGTTTCACCGCCATTTAAACCGGCTTTTATAATTTTCATATTTTCCTACACATTCATATATACATAAATCATGAAATTGATATTCATAAGTTTAAACATTAAAAATATACATAAAAACAAGTTGTAGATCAATCTAAATACATTAAAATTAGACATAACTATAAGTTTTACATCAATCCACTGCATTAAAAGCAAAAAAAAAAAAAAAATTAAAGTCCTACATGAATACAAACGCATCAAAAAAACTTCATAATATTTATCATGTGTTTTTATTTATAAAAATCTTAATAGATGTGAAAAAATCACCAAAGTTTATTATGTAAAATGTTTTAATTCCATGTGTTTTTATTCGATTTAACTGGTTCAACCGGTTTAATTTAACTGGTTCAATCGGATTTTTGTAAAAACCGGCAGGTTTGTTCCAGTTCAGAAATAGACATAAAATCGGTGAAGTCAAATGCAAAATGTATAAACGAATGTTGATTTTTTCATTCACGATTTAACCATTGCCTTTTCCGTTTCCCGATCCAACCGGTTCAACCGGCCAATTCAAACCGATTTTACCTCGTATTATTCCAATTATATGATAGAAATATGGATTTAATGGCACTTGGAAATCTGAGAATCGTGATTATCACTATCAAATCGAAGTATTTGGGTGGTACTTCCAAATCCCCAATTGGATAAGACTCAGAAAATTCAGAGAGAAAAGAAAGAGAATGAAAGTATATAATTTCGTGAGTACCAGAAAAAGAGACCAAAACTAACTTTTAGATCCTTGTCTAAAAACTGTCATATGACAGTTTAAAACTGTCACAAAACCACCAAAATGGTCTTAAAACGAGTATTTTGGAAGGAAATCAAAATGGGTCAATTCTCTAAAATTCGGGTTTTTAATGCATTTTTTATATAGTAACATAACCTATATAAAATTCGATCCTTGTCAATTCTCTAAAATTCTTGTCAATTCTCTAAAATTCTCTAAAATTCGGAGACAAAAACTAACTTTTAGATCCTTGTCAATTCTCTAAAATTTAATCCCAGCCAGGGGCTCTGCCCCTTGGACCCCGCCAGGGGCTGCCGCCCCTTGGACCCTGCTCCCAGGGGCGCTGCCCCCGGACACTCGTTCGTTCAGGGGCTTCGCCCCTAAATGACATTGTATTTTGATACTTGATCAAATTTAAACAAGTATGTACTCCACACCTTCCTTACTTGTTTAATATTTATAAAGATCACTTTTGGTCAAGAAAATAATGTCATTATACTTAAATAACATTGATGATTACAAATCACCAACGTTATATAAAATGGAAAAAAAAATATTTGTTATTTTAATTTGTACATCGTTTTATTCCACGACGGACGCTTACAGACAATCGTTCTATTCACACCTCCATGTGCGGGTCCCACAAACTGCATGTGCAGCGCCTTCCAAGGACTTTTCTCCCATTATTTTAAAACATAATAAAACTAGTAACCTACTGCCCTAAGTAATCCACCAAGATCTGTCAAATATAATTTACAGTAAATTACAGTTTTGGGTCTTATGGTTGATAGCATTATGCACTTTTGGTCTTAGTTTTTTTAATCTGACACAGATGGTCACTATGGTTGGCAAATATTACGTTTTTGATCGTTGCTTCCATTTATCATCTAAGTTTATCTGTTAAATATATGTAAAATTACCATTTACCCCTGTTTTGGTTTTCAAATTTTAGTTTTTATTGTTGTTATTTGTTTAGTAGATGGACCCCACCATTGTATAACACCACAATCATCATTTTTCTTCACCACAACCAAACCCCACAATATGCTCACTCATACAACTCCCTCACCCTCACTCACCTTCACATTCACTATGATGAAGTCAATAATCTCTCCAACCATCACCGGTCTTCTTGTCTAGCCTTCTCAAGTCAAAAAATGTTTTTTTTTTTTGCTAAAAGAAAACTTGTTGATTAAAACATCCAAAAGGGGTCAACACTTCATATTTCAATAAAATTGAGAGGAGAAACCATAAGCAAGGTCAAGACGGAAAAGATGTTTGACATTGATTTTAATATAAAAATAGAAGAAATTTTATATAGACGTAGTGGGTAAACGAACAACAAGTTGTGCTACAACCCTTTTTTGGATGGCAAAACTAGTTCTTTTAAAAACAACATCTATAGATCTTGGGGTCATAACATTACTATGCATGACCCGTTGGACTCTATTGAGGAGCTCCACAGCTTCTAACGCAAGGAAACTGAAAGTATCAAATGCAAAATGTATAAATGTGTGTTGATTTTCCATGCACGCTTTCTCATGTTTTGCCAATTTAAATGATGCAGCTTTTAAAGCAGCTTGCCCCACAGTGAAAACCCCACTCCCCAAGCCCATAAGAGGGGAAACTCCTGTTAGATCCACACATTCATGCTTCCCTCCAGTCCATCCAAATACTAAAAAATCAGCTGGTCTGAGTGTTGATCTTCCTTTCAATGGATCACTCAGAAAGTTCACAGGTGTCTCTTTCTTGGCAGAAACCCCAGCACGCCTAAATATGTCGAAAAGAACATCCCTAACCAGATCGTGTCGGTACTTGAAACCCGGGAGCTCTTTACAATAAACTGCATGCTCCCCAAAGAAGTCCAAGCATGTCTTGCGACAAAAGAGCAAGTCTCATCAGCCAAAAATAAAGGGATCATAAGGTGATACTTGAGGATGACACGATACTCCAATTACGACATATACTGGCCAAGACCGTCAATAGGAATAGTCATAAGAAAATCTTTATCATGTGGGCCCTTAGACACTCAAAAATTGCTTTCTGCCTAATCGTCATGTCGAAGTGAACTTTCATGTCTTGGACAATTTTACTAAAAAGGGCACTCGCCAATGAATGTTGGGCTTTTGGAGGGGTGGTGTCCTTATTAGTGAAACCGCTGAATTCAAAGCCCGGAATCATATCATGAAGCAAGCCAAAGCACAAACATAATCTGAATCCATACCACATATGCCATTATCTCGTACGATGTGGTCTTGTAATACCCACGATTGAGCTCATGAGGCCACAAAAGCATCGGAGGAAGCCTCTACCGCTGAGTACAACCCCAAACCACCAAACCTAATTCGTAACGAAGCCAGTCGCCATTGAAGGTCCCCAAAGAACGGACCCCCACAAACCACAATGTCTTCAATTGATCCTCGTAACCCTTTATCAAAACACAAAGTAACATCTTTCATGTAAACGGGTTGGCACGTCCTCAAGCCAAAGAAAAGTTTGGCGATGCCCATGCAAGATCAAAGCAAAATGAGCTCACTCTGGGGGCCATGTAACTGTGGTAGAAGGCGCATCAAATCAACAGCCTTAGCAGCCCTCTTCATGGCTAACCCGCTAATAAAACTTGCATCTCTACTAGCAGCTCCCCCAAGAAGCTTCATACCCAATAACGGTCGCCTGATGTCAGCAAGGAACAAAGCTGTACGAAGCTTCCTACCATCACATGAAGGCCAAAATAGCTCAGTTTTCTTGATATTCAGCTCAAGACACAATCCTAGGCCGACCACCCTAATCATGTCCAATACTCTTTCCACCTCCTCTGATCTCCAATGACGGTCCCATCATCAAGGTACCAAGCATGAAGAAGAAGCTTGCAATTAGAGATAATTGCAAGGCGACCCTTTGAGATCCTTCAAAGCATTATTGTTATGAGAATATCAAAGCCTTGGTATTCACTGGTGAAATGCATGATTTTGAGAAGGTTCCTAAGAAGAGCTATGCCATGGAGAATACTGATTTCAATCAGTTGGATTTTCCAATAAACAAAATATTGTTTATGGCTGAGCAATACCAAATAGCTGATAAGTTTGAAGACAAGGATGAA